TCACGTTTAGCTACAATCCTCACTTTTAAACATGGTGGAGGCATCATCATGCTGAGAGGAAGTGTCATGTTCTTGGTTCTGTTGTTCTTTACTTTGCTCCTTGTTTTCTAGATTTATTGATTTTATTCCAGTTTTNTCTTTGCTGTCTTCCCATGCTGTGGTCTATGTTCCTCGTTCCTCCCTGGCTCCTCGTGTTTGGTTTTCCCTTGATGTCTCCATAATACTGGTTTGCTTTTCATTATTACGGTAGTTGGATTTTTGCATTCCTGCCTTTGTTTACCTTTTTGATTAAATCCAAAAGAAATCACCTCAGCCTCTCTGCCTCTGCGTTTGGGTTCTCAAACCTCAACTAACCCTGACAGGAAGGAGGTCTGACTTGTAGTGAAGATACTAAAGACAAATAAACCGATGATAGAAAAAAGCGTTAAAAAGAAGACAGTTTCAAGTTTCAACTGAACAATGATCCATTTTCATTTAAAAAATAAAATATGACTTTGATATTATTGTCTTTATGACTGTAATTTAGATTTAAAACACTATATTGTGAGCATTTATTTTAGCACAGTTAACATGTTCGATCTAAAATTACTTTATACTAAATTCACTAAACTTAGCTACTGACTGACATAAACAACAGTTTTTTTAATGACTCAGATATCGGAGCCTCGAGTTTGATTGGAGGGTTTGAGAATTGGTGAGCTTTAGCCAGATGAACAATTAAATAATAATTTATTTTTTTTTTTCAGTTCAATTGTAATTTTTTCTATGGAAAAGGATAAAGTGATCTGCTGTATTCCTGCAACTGAGACACTGTTTCTATTATGCCAAAAGGTTGATCAAGATTTGTTGAAATGGACAATCATTCCTTATTTCCCAGCTGGGATTTCTATCTATTTTTACCTGTAGATAAATCACTCTCTAATCAGGTGAGCTGTTGGTAATGGCATCATTGCCTCTGGTCAGCTTCTATTTAAAGCAGAGGTGAGCAGTGAAGCATAGAGGACGAGAAACAATGTTCCTCTACAGGCTTTTCCTCCTTCTCCCTCATAACAGAAAGGTAGTCAATGTGTGGCTGCTATTTTTTTTTTCTTTACATAAATGTTGTTTAACTCAGATTTGAGGCCAAACTGTATTTTTCGTATTTGACACATTTTAAATGAATCTTTCCGCATGACAACAGTTTGTAAATATACAGATTCCACTAATGCCTTGGATTATAGTTGAAGGGACAGACCACACAATGTGGACCATAAATGCTCAAGCAGACATGGCAACGTCAGTTTATTAAATGCAGCTGCACAGATGCTCTATGACAGGCACATGTGCAGCATTGACCCCTGATGTTGTTCATTAGCTGTCCATCTGTGTGGGTCTAGACAATGTGAAAAGTGAAGAAGGTCACTTTGCAGCTATTTCAGATCTCTTACAGTGATGGTGTTATGTAGAACTTCAGGTTTGTGATTTGTTGCTGTTCTATCTTTATTTCCACATCTGTTACACTTCCAGGACATTTTCTGTTCAAACATAAGATATCCAGGATCTCGGATCCATCAACGTATATTTTGAAGGTCAATTATTTTTTATTTGTTTTTATTCATTAAACTGTATATATGTAAGAATGCAGCAAAGAGACATGATTTTGATTCAGACCAGACTATAATGGATGGAGCTATAACCAGGTTAATGTTTTATATTTTACATAAACCACAGGAAATGGTTTATGTAAAATAGTGTATTTTACATTTATTTTTTAATAATGTTCTTATATCTTTTAAATATTCTTTAAAATTGTGCTTTTGTGTATTTTATTTTCTCTCTTTTTAACCTTTTTTGGCTCAACCTCTCCTTATTTTTTGTGTGTGTCACGGCTCATGACAGAGGACCCAGGATTCAAAGCAAACAGATCAGAACAGGAACAGGCAGGCTCAGAGGATTAGAGCCAGACCAGGAAATCTGAAAACACTTGCACACACTCACCCCACTGGGTTGAGGGAAATTATCTGGCACTGATGTCTGGTAGCAGGCAGGTTAAATAGAGACAGAAGCAGGTGGATTACATAAGCAGCAATGAGAAAACGGGCAGAGTTAGACAGGTGAATGAAATGAGTAAATAAGCCAGTCATCAGCACCAAGATCATGAAAGTATGTGGATCACTTTGATTCCCATTTAGGGTGTTAAGTGCTATACAAAAAATCTCGATTGATTAATTGTTTTACTGTACTTTTTACCTTACTTACTCTCTAATTTTATAAGAGTATTACTACTCTTATTAAGTAACATATCTGGTTGTTCTGCCCACAAGTTATTTTAGCTATTCACAAATCAGGTGAAAATACAGTGAATAGCAGATTTTTTTTTTAATCATTTCCTGACATATATAAACTACATCCTGTAAAGTGTACTTTTTTTAAGTTCACTTTGAATAAAGTGAGTAAAGTGATTTATTTTTTCCTGAATTTGTTATTTTGTAATCTTTTTTCTATTTTTATTTTTTATTATATTGCATACTTTAATTTGTACATAACGCTCGGTTTGATTACATCATTTCAAGCATTAAATCAGATGTTAAGAGCCAACAGAATTCAGTACCTGAGTAGTCATTTTACAAAGTACTTTTTTACTTTTACCAGAGTAATTTCTTTGATAATTATTTCCTAATTTTAATTGAGTAAAAAATGTTAAAGTAGTGCTACTCCTACTTGGGTAAAATTGTTGGGTACGCCACCCACCTCTGTTTACAATGCAATGATGTCAATATCCATTATAAGATGGGAGCATATTTGTAGCATATAACATCCTTTCCTAGATGACAGGGATGTTTTTACTTAACTTGTCTAAAGTCCAAAATGTAGATTTTTCTTTTAAATTCATTAAAAATTAATGTCATGTCTTTCAATGCTACTGAATTTCTATGTTAGAAATGTAGTATGCAATGTAATGCCTAATTTAGAACATGAACAGTAAGCAATGATCTGTTAACACCAAAAGTAAAAAGCTTTTAATATTCAAACATCACCCCCAAAAAGGGCTACTTTATATTAATAAAAAACAATGCCAATACAAGTAAAAAAGAAGGCTAACTAAGCAAAAGAAATACGTAAAAACAGGCAAATTATTATGAATAATGAATAAATAAATAAATAAATAAGACAGCCAAAATAAAAAATTTAAAAATAAAGCACTCTAAAATTAGCTGACAAACTACAATTATGGAATAGATGAATTCATTATAAAGAGTCTTTTTCATTTCTCCTAAATTGAAAAAAAAAAAGAGCAGCTTTAGGTTTATTTTCATCATTTATTTTTCCACATAGACAAGTTTAAATAACTGCGAGACCTCATCCAGCTTTTCACCTTCTGTTTTAATGGCACAGACAACAGAGCTCTCAACAACACAAGCTAGCAGAGAATATGCCAAAAAATAAATCTGCACAACATTTTACAGTACTCATGCCAAGTAAGCATGATTTTTCTCGGAAAGGCTTTTCTTATTTTTTATTTTTTCTCGACAAGGGAACTTATCTGCTTTCATTTACTGTAACCAGTTAACTTATCTGGAATCATATGAACCTAAAGACGCATTAAAAAGCACATAAAAAAAAACAAAAAACTTTATGATTACTGGCAAAGCTTTGAATAATGTAAACAGAAGCATAATTCAAACCTCTTTGACATGAAAGTTTTATGAAAAGACTTGAAGTCAGATCTTGCACCTGCAGAAGCTGGAATGCTGCATTATTATAGGTAATTTTGTGCTTAGTTTCCCATAATAAGACACATCCTTCAAGAATGAGAAATATCGGTAATAAAAAAGGAACATGCTTTGTTTATATTTAGACTTATTTTTATATTGTCATCTTTATGATCTGCACTGCTTATCTTACTTATCCACACACCTCTTTAAAAAAAGGCCTATGGTTTTGACTAGCTAGTGATTTCCTCTTTAACGCGGTATGATTCCTCTTTGTAACACCTTTAGTTTTAACAGTCATTAAAACCAAACCAAACCCCTCTAACAATGACACTGGATTTTATTTGGGGTTTAGTTCTTCAGAGGAAGAAAATATCTTATATGTCTATTTGAAGAGCGTATAGCAAGATTTAAACCTTATGAAATGAAAAAAAAAAAAAGTCTAAAAATGCCATCCCTTACTTGGAATTAGAATTTTGAGATATTTTAACAGACATGAAAGCAGAAAGCATAAAAAAATGATATGGGATTTTTTTTAATAATTAATTTTATTTGTGAGAAAGAGGAGCATTAAACACTGTGCTTGACTGCCGTAATGTCATAAAAATATTGTTACTCTTCAGAATAAGACCTGTCTTTTTTATATGTTCTTGGCCTTGTTTAAATTAATTTAGAAATTTCTTTTTATTTAGAAATTTATTTTGTGGTCATTATTTGTATGACTTTTTTTTTCAAAACTTAGTTTTGACAGAAAAAATTAGGACAGTGAATTGGTTTCACAACTCTCTGCTTTTGCTTCAGCAAATGTTCAAAATACTTCTGATTCTGTCTAAAATTATATAATTAACATTTCTGATCTTTCTGAATCTGCTGCTGACTCTACCTACAATGAAAACAGTTGATCAGTTATGTTTCAGTTGCATAAAACAGTAGCAATCGATACTTTCCCATAATCTACCAGGTCAATTTTTTTAAACTTAAAGAACTTTCATTTTGTTTTTTGTATTTTTTTTAGAGAACCTGAGGCCGTTTCACTGGAACCGATAGGTTACCTATCAGAACTTGAAAGCCTTGTTAAAGGGACAGTTTTGGAGCTTATATATTACCTTCCTGAACTTAGATGTTCCATTGAGAACCAATTGCTAGTAGACATTAAATATCATGTATAAGCAACTTTCCAAGCTGTATTACTAAACCTAAGAGGTTACTTTCTGGAACTTGCTAGCTTTTTTCCAAACGTGTCAAAACATATCTGGGACCTAAAGGATACCTACATTAGCTCAGAGGTTAGTATTAATTTATGAGAGGATTATTTTAGAAACTACGTAGATAGTTTTCTAAAACCTGGAGGTTTCTTTCAGTTACATTCTGGATCTTGCTGGTCACTTTTTAGATTTTTCAGGTCACTTTTTGACTCCAGATGTAAATTTCCATCATTCTTTTTTGTCTACATACAGATGGTTTCCAAGACATAAGTTGTTGAATCTGAAACTCTAATTCTGCCTAACATAGAGGTCTCCATATGAAACTGGTTATTTTCCTGGCCTTTGCAGGTGACCTTTAGGGACAGGACAATATTAAGATGTGTTATTTTCCTAAGTGAGGACTTTTTTTTACTTCAATAAAGGTCCAAAGGTGCTATTGGGAGTTGAAAAGGTGCCCTGTATTAACCAAAAGGAAAGAAAAAAAAGGAAATTCAAATTCCAAGCAGTAATGTATTCAAACCTTGGTAATTTCAGAAAATAACATGTGAGTTCAGTGAAGGTAACCTCTTCATTTCAGGGATATAACCCCTAAGAGCCAGAAAACAGGAAATGGTACTGAATTAATCATATTACATGTTCAAACAGAATAATCATCATGACTTAGGGTAAATATCTAAAGTTCCTGTGGCAGCAAGAATCTAATGAAATCTGGTGTGAATCCTTTGTTTCAAATATGCAGGTTTTAAAATCATGCCTCCAATTGCAGAAATTGTTCAGCAACTTGATTGATCTCATCATCTTACCAGTTTGTGTTGCATTAAAACATAAGTTGTATTTAAAACCGAAATGAAAAACAATGTTGGCTCAAAACGAGTGAAATTTACAGTAAATTCCTAATAAAGTCATATTTTTGGGCAAGTCAGTTCAATGTTTGGATGATTTGCTGTCAGGTTTACTTGATCAGAGTAGCTGGCATTTTGCCTCCAAGTTAATTTAGTTGAAATCTGTGGTTGCTCTGGAAAAATACTGGGAAATTTCTTGCACTGATGGAGTTTCCATGAAGTAGACTGCATGCATGGTTAACCAGGGTGCCTCAACAAAGAGATTACAACACACGGAAAAAGCATTAACTTTTATCTGCTTTGGTAAACATGTTTCTTTCAATTAGAAAATGACTGTCGATGTTATGTTTGTTTTCACTTTGCTGGTGTGTCTGATTTTACCTGCATGCATCCTCTAGCATTAAAAATCAAAGCAAATAATGATGACTTTTTTTTTTGAAGTTTTGGGCTTTTTGTTAAGATAAAAAATAAAAATTTTAACTTTTCCTTGATATCTCAGCAACCTTTTCAATGCCAATTATTATGTTAGAATTGAACAAAATGTGGCTTTAAATCCAAACATAAGACAGTTTCAATTAGCAAACCTCAGCTAGGAATCCCTACAGGGAAGGAATCCATAAGAAAAACATTATGCAGAAAACGGTCTGTTTGGAAGATTTCTTGTGAAAACTCACACCTGGTCTTTTGATGAAAAATAAGAAGATAAAAAGCCAATTCAGTTTAAAGAGAGTAATGCACATTTTGGTTCACTCTAACATTGGATGGACTTAACAGCTCTTTATTTTTTATAACATAAACATGATCATATTCTGCTCTGCCCATTCCTTTGGGACTAAGGTAGAATAATGCAACACACATATTGCAATATTAACTGTTGAAATCTGCCAGTCTGGGCACCACAATGTCCAGCCAGATAGGGAAGCAGTTGCCTTACTTTAAAACTTAACTTACAAATTTGGTCGCAAAAAGAAAACAAAAACACACTCAACATAGAACATGAGCAGTCATCTAGCGGCCCTCTCAGGTCAGATTTAACTTGCTATGAATGTGCTAACAGGCTAGCAGCCAACAGCAGCAGTTTCAGGTGTTGCAAACTGTTTGTTAGGTTCACTTAAATCTAATTTTGGCATTTGAGTGGAAGCCTGGTCTTAACGAACCAACAGCCACTGAACACATCTGACCTCCCCAGGGCCTTGCTGAGGAAAATATACCCCCTAATGTATAGGGGATACTCTGCTCTCCAGAGAAGGATGACTTAAACCTGTCAAGGTTTTCCCAGAAATCACTTTTTAACAGCCAGTATTGTCATCTGTAGACATTCCTCCTTCATAGCCAACAGTTCTGTCTTGTAGCTGCTTGGCTTCCCTCCATCAACATACACACAAGATGACTTCTTAGTTGAAAGAGGTGTCTCCATGGTGACAGAGCCAGCATTGAGTATGTCAGCGTGCGACGGTGAGGATGAGGAGCGCCTCTGGCATGCTGAGGACATAATAGCTGAGAGAGCACGACTAACATCGTGCCTGGCACCCTCATTGACAAAACAGTACAAAATGGGGTCAGCTACACAGTTCAGGCTAGTCAGAGCCAGAGATACATGATATGCAGCAAACAGGGTCTCCTCTGAGCTACAGTCGCACGGCTGCCGCAGAAACATCACACTGCGCACCAAAAGGAGTGTATGGTATGGTCCGAAGCACAGCAAAACTATGAGAATTAAACTCAAGGCCAGTCTCTGGATTTTGGCTTTCTCCTGTCGCTCTGTAGAGACGTTGCATCGCACTGCTGCTAGTATCCCTCTGTAGGCCACCAACATGGCAGTCCATGGTGTAAGGAAACCAAAAAATGTTCTGTAGAGGTTCATTCCTACCACCCAGTCCTGCATTGGATACTTTTCAAAGCAGAAGGTGTGGTTGAAGCGATCCTGGAAGAGTTCATCGTGGAAGAGAGGAGCAGAGTTGGCTATGATCTCAATGATCCAGACAATGGCACTGACGAAAACAGCTGCAGGAAGAAAAGAAGGGAAGATTAGACACTTATTAAACATCCACTGCTCCATCTAGTTAATACTTTACTCAACAGCATCAATTACTCTATACAGCCATTGCAGAAACCTAGTTTATTCTCTTTCATATTCATACTGAAAATGGCCTGGCATTGGACAGGTTCTAAAGATA